TTTAACAAAGAATGCTAAATGAAGATCTGATAGTGACTCAAAGCCAAACAATTTCCGCTACAAGAGATGAAGTAATAAAGGGAAAATCAACATAGAGAGAACCCAAACGCGGAATGATGACAGGGAATGAATTGTAAGGCCCCAATAATCAAGAAGCAATTGCTTCAAATTAAAAAAAACAAACATCCTGTGTATACAACTATTTATATATACATGTGTGTGTGTACACACAGATATTACGGTCAGCAAGAGGGCATCCACCACCACCGCCCCTGTCCCCACCAGACAGGCTAGCAAAGATATTTTGCAATATAAAATTAAGTCAATTTGCAACAGTCCAAGTTGGAAAAAAAGAAATTAGAGGGAATTAATTCCTGTCTAGTGTTCTAACACCGTAAATTACTTTCTCCCATCACCAATTCTTCCCTTCCCTTCCACTCTCTCACCAATCTCTCGAAATTTCCCTTCTTCTAACACTCGCATTCCCGAATCTGTACAAGTGTTTTAATCTTCATTTTTGCTTTTAATTTCCGTTGAAGATCATCAAACCCTTTCTTCATATATTGAAGGTGAAAAAGGATGTCCGATGAAAAATGAGTTTGGCCACCTCACCTACAAAAACCAATTTACAGAAAACCAATTTGCAGTAATTAAAAAATTCAGCTTGCAAACAATAAACACTTTAGATGCAAAATAGGTTTCGACAACTTCACATAATCAGTTTGCAGAAATTAAACGGAAATATGTGTGGGTGGACAAGAAAAATAATTTGAGCGTTAATGATTGCGTGCAGGGAGGATTGTTTAGTTCTTAACATGTGATCGGTGTTAACTTTGTAGCTTTATTTGAATTCAATTTGGTTATTATTTTGATTGCAGCCTTGTTTGTTCTTTCCCTCTTTTGTCGGGGGAAGAGATTGTGAGAAAATTGCAAATGGAGTACTCTCTAGTTGGGTTTTGACATGGTTTGACAAGGACCGGAGGTAGTGGTGGGGCTGGCCGGCGGAGAGTGGATTGGGACAGTGTGGGCATTGATCCGTCAGTAATGTAGGGGTTTAACAAGGCCACACTTAAATTTTATGGGTTTGGTCATTCAACCGATGGCAATCCAATACTATAAAAAAAATGAAGGGTAATTGGCATAAAACGTCTCTACCTTTGGAGGGTATTGTGGATACCGTCCTTACCTTTCATTTCTTGGCATTTATGCCCTTAACTTTCAATTTTCGTGTGCCGAAGGTCCTTTTCACCAGGTTTTGACGATTTTACTCTCCATTCAATTGAAACAAAAAGAAAAGAAAAACAATTGAACAAATTGTAACTATTGGCCCAAACTTTTTAAAANACTTTTTAAAAAGTGCAAATAACCGACCAAACTTCACATTCTTCCCAAAACTCGCCCCCACCCTATCGCAGCCTGCCGGCCATTTTCAAACCACCGTGGCCACCGAATTTTTGCACCAACACCTTGGCGGTGGCGGTGGCGACGGATCAACTCCAGGTCTGGGAATTAATGGATTTGCACAACAACATGGGGGTATGGGCGATCCATCATCTTTTCCAGTATATAATATGCCATTTGCACTCAGTACACAAACTCCTCTTTGCCTTTTCCTCGCAAACTGGGCGATGCTCTCCGCGACATCCGACCCATTCGCCACCTCCATAACGTGGTTGTGGAGGGCATTAGGGTTGTCCCTAGTGACAAAAATAGGAGGTTTTGGCTTGTTCTTTGAATGTTGTGGCCTTCCTCTTGCTCTATGAGATGGAATTTCAACTGCACCCTCTTTAGGCTCATCGTTGCGTTCCCCTTCTTCTTCATCGTCCCGTCCACCGCTCCCAATGTTTTTGTTCATAGATATGCTCAGATCTGGCTTGTTTAGAGGAGATGAAGTTGGTAAAAAACCCAATATTCTCGTTCATGGATACGCCAAGATCTGGTTTCTTAAGAGGTGGAGATGAAGATTCCACTCCTGATATATTTACTTGGCCAGTCCACCACCTGTTGTTTGCTGCCATTTTAGTACCAGATTCAAACTTCAAATTGCTCTCAAATTTGTTTGGCTAACTTTGATCGGAATATCTAATCCTTATCTGATCATATGTGTATCTGAAATCAAATTATGGAAGTGATTAAGAGAGAAAACAAAGGGTGATTAAGCTAAAGGATGAGGGTTTTTGTACATTTATTAATGAGTAAAACAAGTGAAAGTAGTACTGTGTTTCTTTGGTTTTGTTGGTGCAAAAATTCGGTGGCCACGATGGCCTGCAGGCGGCGATAGGGTGGGGGCGAGTTTGGGAACAATGTGAAGTTTGGTCGATTATTTACACTTTTTAAAAAGTTTGGGCCAATAGTTGCAATTTGTTCAATTGTTTTTCTTTTCTTTTTGTTTCAATTGAATGGAGGGTAAAATCGTCAAAACTTGCTGAAAATGACCTTCAGCGCACTAAAAGTGAAATGTAAGGGCATAAATGCCAAGAAATGAAAGGTAGGGATGGTATCCACAATACCCTCCAAAGGTATGGACGTTTTGTGCCAATTACCCAAAATTGAATTTTAAATGAGATGATTGAAACTCCATCTTCACGAGTGAAATCAAAGCTTGTCATGGGTTCTAATCACAAAAGCCTCATGTTAAATGAGAAATTGTAGGGAGACTTTTAAAACTAGCTTGGTCAAATATGTCTTTTAAATTTTCCATAAAAAAGTCTATTTTACCCTTAATAAAACGAATTATCATATATTGCATAGTATATATGAATAGTTTTAAAGACTAGTTATATCTTATATTTCTTCTATTTTGGATTTCAATAAATAAATCCATTCTTTCATCCGTTAAATTAGAATAATCTGCAACATGTTGTTCACATTTTTCTTTATGTTCATTATATTCTTCATATAATAAATTTATATTTTCTAGTTGAGAAGTAATATTATTTATCTTTTCTAACAATTTTCCTAATAAATTATCTAATTCTTCAATTGTATATCCTGGCATTTTTAAATATAAATGAAATATAAGCATTATGAAACAATGATATAAACATCATGATAACCAATAATTCAAAACATTAATACGAAAAGCATAATAATCTTAGACATAATAATTCAAAAATAATCCATGCGATTCTTTAAGATTTTAGAAGAATTATTTCCAAATTTAACAAAAACAA